CTGAGGCTGGTCAAAGCTTATCCCAGCTGCCTGCCACCTCCCTGCCCCCGAGACACCTCCCCAGCGCCCAGCCACCCCGTGCCATTAACCCACCAGATTTCCTACTTACACATATGAGCAAACCTCTGCACGCCAGTACTTCCACCACTGCACCCCCGGTTGCACCAAGCATCCTCGCTCTGCCCTTCGCAGCCCCCCATCACCTCCCTCTGCTCCGTGGGACCAGCAGGACCCTCCTGCTCTGTGCCCTTACACACGGGCTGGCCACAAAAGCACCCTCACCACGGCTTCCGAGGCCACCAGCCCCCAGCCACACGTGCCTGGGGAGGCGACAAAGCAAACAGCCAGATGTCCCCGAAATAGCAGCATTTCTCACAAGCAGCAGCAGCTCTTTAATGAGACCCTTGCCCTTCCCAGCAACAATTCAGTTCCCAGGTGTAGGAAGGATTTGTTCCTCTGCCACAAACTATTAATTACCATGTTTGTCAGGATAAACAACCAGCCTTAATTATTATACTCCTAAATATAGAGCAGCAAACGTGCCTATCTCCAGCACAGTTCTTTTTCCTTCCTGTCTCCAGCACCCTTGGGGCTGGGCTCAGCGAAACGCCCGGAGCGGGTCTGCACCTCGGCACAGCAGCGGGCAGGGGCACAACCCACCCCCACATGCATGGGCAGGAGACAACAAATCTGGTCATTTTACCAAGACAGAGACAGAAACCGGCTTCTTGTCCCCCTGCTCTCTCCCAGCTGAGCTCCCAGGGCTGCTCCGTGGACAGAAGCACGCAGCCAGCAAGCAGAGAGCATCAGCCCCTGGCTGCTCAGCTGGCCCAGCAGGACCCGAAACGGTGCCCAGGACCCCTCTGCCACTGGGGGATTTCCCAGAAACAAGGGTTAACGCTTGCTGCAGCCCCAAAAGATGCATGCTGCCTGCTTATAAATGAATTCTTGCTGAGGACACTCACAGGAGCCCCGGCAGAGTTGCATGCCTGCCTGCATCGGAGGGGAAAGGGACAAACGGGGTGCACCCTTGGGCCACCCACCCGTCACCTCGATATTTGGGTGCTTGGTCACACCTCTGCCACCTCCTCAGCTCTCCTGCTTCCCAAGGTGGAGCAAACCCATGCTGGTGGAAAGCTCTGAAAGCTCAGCGAAGACCAAAGTGGCCAAGTCCCCCTTTGCACAACCATTTGCACCAACAGCCTCGGGGCAAAAGGAAGCCAGGGCAGGAGGCTGGACAGCCCCTCCTTGCTCCTCTATTGCTTAATTACCCTAAAAACCGGATCCTACAGAAGCCGAAGCCATCAGCAAGCGCAGCGCCAGCCCCCCCAGCATCTGTGCGGGCAGGGAAGGGGCTGGAGAAAAGCTTTGTTATTTGCAGCTCCGCTCTGAAGAGCCTGGCGAGCGGAGCCAGGAAGCTGGAGAGAAAAAAAAAAAAAAAAAAAAACAAACAATTTGTAATTACACACTGGGAAAATTGAACAGCAGGAAGCAGACGGTTAACATCATTCTGCACAAGACAAACAGGAGATGTACAGAAATACATATCCAATTTTGAGAGGTCACTCGGAGCGCTTTTAAAAGGAGCTTAATTGTATTTCTAATGAAGCAGGAGGCAGCAGCCTCCATTACCTGTACCAGCACAGCCCTGACCTTAGCTTTTGTGCTCGAGCACCCGCCGGGGAGCAAACAGCTCCCCAGCACCCTCCAAACCCCGGCTGCAATTCACCGCCCCACCGGCCAACCTCGCTCTGCTCCCTGATGGAGAGGCGATGGTGAGGCTGCCCACTGGCCAACAGATTAAACCTCGTTAAGAAAATGGTTTGCTCTAGTTAGGAAATGTTCCCGGTGGCAGGTGACAGCGGAGTGGCCGGGAGCTGAAGGCCAGATGCAATGAGGCTGCGTGGGAAGGTCGTTACCACCGCAGGGGGATGCGGCGATGCCCAAACCGCGGCAGAAGCAACCCACAGAGCCGGCATCACCCACCGCACCCACGCACCCTCTGTCCTGCCCTCGGCACACAGCCCGACAGCTCCCGCAGCCCACGGCTTTCCTCCCACACCTTCCTCCGCTCCTCTGCAAAGCCACCGGGGATGTCCTGGTGTTGCTCCAGCCATGGGAACTCCGCACCGAACCGATTTGGGTGCGTGTGGTAACACTGCCCAGGTCCCTAATATAGCTGCGGTATCCAGGGCAGGAAGATTTATATTTCTTGGCACGCATAGGAAAAGCACCTCGTGTTTCCCTGAGGTTCAGCAAGGACGAGCTGCCCCCATCCCACCCCAGCTGCGGGTACCCGCCTGGGGACACTGTGCCCCCCCACTGCCTTTGGAGCAGCTTCAGAAGGAGGAGATTTGGCAACAGCAGCGATCCAGAGCAGAACCCAGAGTCAACCCTCTGCAGAGGGGGGATGGCAGCAGACGGACAACCCGCTGGAAACCCCCGGCAGCCCACCACCGCTCTGGTTCAGCTTTTCCACCTCTGTTATCTCCTGCTCCCCTTCCAAGAGAGGGCTCCTTGGGATCAAAGTCTCCGTTATTTCAGACGGGAAGCGTTGCAATACCTGCTGGGCTCTCGCTGGAGCAGAGGGCTCTGGCCCCGGGCAGCAGCTGAGCCCAGCACCCGGCAGTAACCGGATCCTGAGTTACACAAGTGTCCCCAGGACAGGGGGCAAGGGCAGCGCGGCAGAGGGGGCTCAACCATCCCCTTTGTGCAAAACCAGGTTTCATGCACAGAGTAGCCTTTTTGCAGCCAGCACAGGTCTCCAAACCTCTAATTGTCAGAGCATGCTTCTGTGTCCGGGTGTCCCTCTGACACCGTGTGGGACAGGGGACAGCTGGGAAAGCTGTGCCACCCCAGAGCTCTGCACCATCCTGTCTCCATCCCTGCCAGGGCACCTGCCTGCAGGAAAGGAGGGAGAGCAGGAAAGGGTCACTCTGCCCTCATCGCAATGAGGGAGGAAATTCAGCTTCCAGCGCAGTTCAGCCCTCCCCATTTCAGCAGACAGACGGTGTTTGCTGCCAACCTGTGCCTTGGCTCAGCCCAGCTCCCCCAGGAGCCTTTACACGCTGCGAGGGAAATGAGTTATGTGCAAAGCTAAACACACTCATTATCTCCGCTAAACCCCCCAAGCCGAGGGCTCCCAAATCAGCCCCAGCAGCCGGCGGCACAGGGACCCCCCCGGCAGCAAAACCTCCTCCTGGGCTCCTGCAGCACCTCCGGGTTTTGCATCACCTTTGAAAGGCAAACCCTGGAAGCATCTCCTGAAAACAAAACAGCTCCTCGGGGTGTCAGCGGGGGGGGG